TTAATTCTAATATAATATATTTATCTCACCCCACCTCCACCACCCCAACCGCTCCGGGGACTATTTCGACTACCGTTTCAGTCAAAACTCATCTCCGGCGATCGTTCAAAATTCTTAGGTTACAAATCAAAATTTTCATGGGTCACAATTTGTTTATCGGTCATAACTTAAAAATTTAAAAAGTCACAATTTGTTCATCGGTCACAGATCACAAAATTTATAAGTCAAAGTACTTATTTTACAGTCACAAACATCACAATTTATCAAATTTTGGGTCACAAGTTAATAATTTTAAGATCACAAAACATTTATTAGTCACAGTTTATCTAATTCATTGGTCACATATTGTTTACTGGTCACAAACTAACTAAATTGCTGGTCATAAATAATCAAAACATTTGTAACCACACAAAAAACAGTTGTGACCACCACTTCGCCACTACCTCCGCCAACGGCACCACCACCGTCGCCGCCCAACGTCAACATCTCACACCCAACACCACTATCACCACCCCCAAAGTCGCCACATACACCGCCAAACAGCACAGAACACACAGCCACCGCTGCCAACAACTTCAGATCCACAATTCCAGCGCACTATCCACCACAACGCCACTACACCGCACCGTTTACGACCACCACTGCCACACAACCATCGTACCACCGTCGCCCACACACGAGCCCAACCACACCTAAAGAGATCTGCACCTCCACGAGACCTAACCGCTCAAAATAAAACAAAAAAGAAAAGTGGAACTGCACCTCTACCACCGCCGCACCCACACACAAACCCAACCACATGCACGCACTAACACCCAACCGAATCGACGGACTAACGGTGGAGTCCAAATAGACCTGTTAAATTCCACAACACCCAACTACTACACGCGCACACACACAGCGGTTGGCATCCACACGGTTGTGACCCGTCGTTCACAACAGCGATGACAGTGGATCCAAACAGAAAATAGAGAGGGAGAGTGAAGACGAGCGACAGAGAGATGATGTAGAATAAGCGTCGACGGCCGTGTCGAGTGGATGAAGCGTCAGAGGCCGTTACGACGATAGGGAGGAGAGCAGACGACGGAGAGAAGAATTGACGACCAAGAAGGTGGCATATTGCAGAGAGAGATGAATCGACGGTAGCATGGAGGATAGAGGAACCGACGTCAGTGCTAGCGGCGCAGCGTGGCGACGGCGACAACGTATTGCAGAGAGGAATTCGAAGTGGAGATGAGATGGGCTAATCCTTTTTTAGGGTTTGGGGTAGATAGGATATGGGCGAGGAGTATATATAAATTAATTTAT